ACATCCAGTAATAATAAGAACTCTTCCCTGCTTTCATTAACTGGACAGAAACTCACCCTTTCTCCATTGTCTTTTCTAATTATGACCTAGACCTAAAGCAGTCCCAAACCTAAATGAAAAACCTCAACACGTTTCCTGTAAAGACTGGCCCAGAGTATTCTCTCATCTACTCAGCAGCATGGTAATCATGTGAATCCTTTATGTCACTGGCCCTGAGTAGAAATGACAAATGCCAGTTGTTCTCGGCTTTAAAGGGGCTGTTCCCATTGTATAGATGATAAATATTTCTGTACTGACAAGCCTTTACCCTTTCACACCTTTAACATTGTGTTAGATATTTTATGTATATTGCCAGAAACACTAATGGTCTAAGTCCATTCTGATGAGGATGGCTAACTGTAGGGCATAGTCCACTACATTGCTGGTGATAAAACATTTCCTGATAGTGCTGCTCCTTGAACACTAAGAAATAGGACGATCCTTACAATGTGGCCTCAGATTTGACAATCATAAGACATATTTTTGTCAGCTCTATACCACTATTGCCTTACTCAGAGTAAGGTCTAGTGTTCCATTTTTTGTCTGTTTAAGAAATAGTGAACCACGGAGAAAACTGAGCAAAGATAATGTCTGCAATTGCTCCAGGTGAACTGCAGAGGTGGCTTTCTCTCTTGTTTGATCAGGATATCAGAAGAATCTCTTTCCATTACAGAGGCCAACAGCTAGCAGGATTATCTGTGTGACATGCCACTCTGGCAAGTATTTGAGATAAACGAACTGAAACAAATGCTGTCCTGCTTATTGGAAAAAAAAAAAAAAAATGTACTTAAGCACTTCTGTCTTTTCCCGCAATGCTGTTCACCTATATTAGAAGTGCTTTAGAAACAGCGATCACACATCATGGGCATAACATGAAGTCTGTGTCCTTACAAAACCTTCTTTTATATCCCACTTCACAAATGAGAAAACTGCAGCACTGAAATGCCTGGTGTCGGAAAACTAAATAATAATCAAGTTCCATCTGTCTACATGAGATAATTCAAGAGGCTACAAATATATGACAGCTCCATGACTAACATTCCCAAGAGACTAACCACTGTGCTGGAAATGGCTTTCATCTAAATTCTGAGCCCTTTCTTTTTTTTTTTCCCAATTGCATAGTTTCCTACAATTGGTTATACTAACAGAGTTCACAGACTGCTTTTGGAAAAAGAATGTTTCTGACAGTCACTTGCCAATTTTTTTAGGCAATGATGTTAGAGGCAGAAATTTCCAAAGCAATCAATCATTTTAAGAAGTATAATAAGAAGTTAATAAACTTTTACATCTAGAAAGTGTTAGATCACGAGAGGTGGTCTTTTTGCCTAAACAATTTTATGACACTGAATATTTGCACTTAAGTGCTTACAATAGATGACTTTTCTAAAGTATGTGTTATATTTTAATAGTAAGAAACCTCAGAAATGTATGCAACACTCAGAAGCACTTCGCAAAGAACTTAAGCTAGATACGTTGACTATCCATTTGATATTATTTGTTTGCTTCTGATGTTATGAATTATTTTCCTAAAGTGTATTAAGAATTACAGTATTTCAACATACTGAACAACCTTCACAGGTGGTCCGGTTTTTCTTTCCTCTTTTTTTTTTTTAATTAATCAAACAAACAGAAGTAAATGATGGATTATTTATTGAAAATTCAATCACCCATGTATAAGCAAAATTTGGGGATATTAATATCATCAGATATCTAGGATACTTCTTTTCCACAACTGATTTTACACCAAATTTACCTTGATAATTTAACATTAAGAAATTACAATGCTTCAGCATTTACCACAGGTATATACTACATATTATACAATAGCTGTAGGTTTTCAACGTAACTTATAACAGAGAAACAATGAAATGAATGAAAAATCAAAGGAACAAAATACAAACTACAGAAGATGAATAAATACCAACAGTTGAAAATCATAAGAATAATAATGAGCGGGG